TTGGGCTTTCTTTCCGACCTCGGCTTTTAATTGGCATTCTCCTGTGGCGAGAAGAGGAGCGAACCTCCATGGGAGAGAGCTTCTCTACGGCCGAAAGGGGTGCTTCGCCACTAAAGGGGTTGATACCAGCGATCTTTCCTCCCGAGATGCAAAAAATGAAATCTTTCTATCGGCGCGATGCACCGCGATATCGGTCCCCTACGACGAGATCCTGCTGCGAGGTCCGGCGCGATCTACCAAGTTTCCAATTCCCACGGCGGATCGAGCGATATAACAAAGCGCCCGTTCGCGCATGAAAGATTCATCGAATTTTATGGCTCGTTGATCCTTGGTTAAGATGTGATCTCCAGAGGTTTTGTCAATGTTTCGATTACTTTGCCGTCGTATTTCTCAGAACATAAAAAACTTTGAATATTTTTTTTTCTATTGTGAAAAAAATTTGTGATTAACGAACCGTACTTAATTAATCGCAAGAATCATAGTTGGTACATGTTAAAATTTATATTTTTATTTAGCAAAATGGAAACAGACACTTTACTGTCTGTTTGCTTCTACGATATCTTTCGAGAAAGAGATATAATCTTGTTTATTCTTAAAAATAGTCATCGGCAGATCCATTTTAATTTGCACAGTTCGATACGAAGAATAATTCGAATAAGTCTAATTTTTACGACGTTTGTCTCTATGAATGATACATGAGGGTAATGGATATAGATCAAAGGGATATCAAAGTATCTCAACGTAAACGACAATTTATATTTGCGTTCCCGTCGTCCACGTGGAAACGATAATACGGCGGGGAGAGAAAGGGAGAGCCGTGAAACCACGAAAAGCGAGAACGTGAGTTTCGACGGCCATGACGATCTCGTACCGACGCATCATTGGTGGACAGGCTACGAAATTAATACGAAGCAAACGGCCATCTTGTCCCTGTACCCGAATCTACGTACGTATACGAAAAGGGGTTCTAATGTGCCCACAGTATATATGGATATCGGGAGAGCCGCGTTACTCGAGTCACCGCGTCCGGGCATACATTCGCACGCGTATACGCGCCCGCGTATACACACGTAAGGATGAGAAAAGCTGCGGACGTATGCGTGAAGATTGATTATACCGCGGGAGAAAATGTGATCAATAGCTCAACAAACAAAGGCGTCCGACGCCTATATAATGCAAATAGCAAAAATCGCGGAGGATTAAGGGGGTTGCGCGGGCGGGGGGAGGACGTGCGGGATTAGGGAAAGGGAGGTGAGAGGCGACAGGGTGGTGTAACGGTCAAGAAACAATACGGACGCGTGCGGCTACTTCAAGTTTGCTTGACACCACCGCGCACAGCCAGCCCTCGCGCGCACCCTCCGTACCCTTCGACTTCGCACCCTTCGGTTCTTCCCTCCGAGGCAGCTCCGAGCCCGCCGTTCTCGCTTTAATTTGCATACGACCGATCATGTCTTCCGACTCGCCTTCACATCCTCGTCGCCATACCTCGCGACCATCGATCAAGCCCCGATTGTTTTTGCTTCAACTCACCCCCACCTCGCCACTGGGATTGGACGCCTTCGTGCCGGGGGTTGCTCGTTGGTCACTACCCCACACGTACGTCTCCTATGCGCGCACACCGACTTTGTGTGGTCCTTCAGCAGTCGAGAATCTCGCTAACGAGCGGTTCTCCTTCTACCGATGACATTGCTCTCATGTAGAAAACCTGCCAGCATCCGCCATTCCCTAGCGATAATTCTCCGTTCTTATTTTTTTCATGGTCTTTAATCCTTTGATTTTTTGCGCACAATATCAGAAATAGATTGCTGATCGATTATTTAATTATTCTTTTGTTTACAATGTAGAGTTTTCATATAGCTGCAATGATACTAATATATTTTATTTGTGCAATTATAAAATTAATTACTTAATTAAGATTAATTTTTTATGTATGAAAAGACAATAATCTTGGACAGGATTTAATAATCAGATACGGAATATCAAGATTATACCTCGGATTGAAATCCCGGTGTCAAAATTCAATAAGAGGCGAGCGAAGTGTGATCGTAACAATCGAGAGTCCGCGGTTTTTACGAACTACCCGGAAACATTAAATTTAATCGAAGCTCATTGATCTTCACACGGCCATCTCCGAATAGCGTATGGTTATTAATACTATCCATATCCGAGCGAACTAACTCTGAGCTGAGCTTCCGTCACCCACGTTACACGTCAGATTGCATTTCGGATCGTAAAATGTCGTAGCGTAATATTATAAGATACATCACAAGATACGATATTAAATTTTGCCTGCAAATCGACATTATATAAAATCGGTATATCTACATGTTTTCAAATAGATTAAAATATTTATTAAATAATTACTTTGTCATAAAATTTATGCAATTGGATAAGTACAATTTATTTGTGAAAATTTAATTAATACATTCAACAATATGTTAAAAGCGTTGTAAAAATATTTTGTAAATTTATAAAAATATACAGCGAATGCATACACATTTAATGTATCACAATTGTTTGAAAAATTTTAAATTGCGCGCATACATGTGCTTGTTGCGGAAAACATTATGTCAGGAGCATTTCTTTGGCACAAAACATGTTGCAAGAAAGTTTAAAGTAGGTCCAGCACTTTAAAGCCTTACTCGTTCTATAGTCCGCTGATTGAAGAAATATGCATACAGTCACACATTTTACATGTGAACGTTGATTTCCCCTGTTTCATTCGCATCGTTAAACAGTAGTCACGAAAGAAATGGAAAGAGTCGATAGACTCGCCACTCCGCAACACCAAATGCGAGGGGTGAGTGTCCGTCACGTAGGGAAAAAAAAAAAAAAAAAAAAAAAACACCGCCGAGTCGCCACATTTATCGTAAGTTCGTCGATCGACGTGGTGTTAATTCCACCTGTCCTTCGTTTCAGGTTTCCCTTATGGCGATAACCTACCCCATCGCCACTAATGGCGGACATTATTGCGAGCGATCGCGGCAACTTCGGAAACTTATCCCTACATAAGCCACCCCCGCCGGCGGCAACCGCCCCTTCTACCTGACGGTATATCGAACGTCAATGCGTACTTATCTACACCCGCGTCGGTTCTTACCTGTGTGCCGCCGTGTGTTTGTATGTGTATGCATGACGTTGCCGCAACACGCATCCGTGTGTTCGTTCGCTACGTATACATACTTATACAAATGGAAATGAAGCTTCTGGACTGTATTGATTATGGGTGAAACGGAGGACAATCGACAGGTAGCCGCCCCCGATAAATAAAGTAACGAGTAAAAACGTGCAAGTTTACCGCGTGCGTCAAGGCTGTTCGATTTTACGCTACCGCGATGAGTCATGGGATTACAAGGCGCCAGCGGAATATAGTTAATTTTATTAAATTGTAAAGACTCAATCGATACTCACACTTTGTGTCCGACACCGTCGCTGAATAAACCGAACGGTATCGAAAAAAGAATTTTCGCTCGTAAATAAAAATTAAATTTAACCCGAATAACGGGGTTCGAATCCGCAAGATGTAAAAACACGCGCGTCGACAGCTGCACTGCTGTCGGAGGTGTGAATTTTGTGAAATTGAAGTCGTTGCTTCTCGATTAACCCCCGGAGCACGGAAAGAGAGACGACGCCTCGACGAGAAAAAACAATTGATACGATCTCGTTCACGTAGAGCTCGTTGCATCGTACGCGCCACGGTGCGAACGCATTCGACTTTAAAATCGTCCCACTCCACCCCTCTTTGATCGGCCCTCTCTCTTTCTCTCTGCGCCTGCAGCCCCTCTGTCCTCTCCCCATCATTCCGTATCCTCGCATACAGGCATCCACGTGAACCCTCGCGAAACACGTGGATAGGTTTTGAGTGCTCACGATTCATTGCGATTGATTGCGGCACACTGGCAACACGACGATTGCCGTGCGCTCTATTCGCCGTGATAATTTTTTGCCACCGCTCCTGCCACTCGATTCTTTCATCCCGGATTCGTCCTCGTTATAGAGACGGAAAAACAAGACGTTGCGGTCGCATACTGTAATTATTGCGCGCAGATCGATGATGCATTAATGAGGGACGGATGTACTTCGTACACGTCGCTGCGGGCGATATTATGAGTGTAAATGTCATCAGTTTTTTATTTCTGTGAACTATACTTAATTTTTTTCGCTATTGTAATTGAAGTACTGTATCTTTTTTTCTTTTATTCTTATCATAATATCTTTGAACTTATCTTTACTTATCATTGAATTATTTTCTTAAATAAGTTAAATTGTATCAATAATCTCTGAAGCGCTAAGTGAATTTTTCGCAAAATCATATATTTTCTGTTGACAGTAAGACAGCTGCAAAATCGTACTTATTAAAGACAAACTTCGAGAACTAGTCCAAGTGTCGAAGCGATGAATTGTTCGGTGATATGTGTCATAAATTATTACCGATACGATAATTGGATGACAATTCAACCAATTGGATCGATCCGATTGAAACTTTATGCGTAATTTAATCCGCGGTAATTACATTTAGACTCGCCAAGATTTAAAGTTATCCTCTCCTAAGCGTTCGCTATTGATTTCCGTATATATTCCCGATAAAATTAATAAAGAGCTTCTGGTAAGCTCCTTACTAGGTTCGGCTCCAGATAAACGATGCTCGAGGCGAATCGTGGAGGGGAGGTAGAAGCCCGTAAATGTGATTCTATATTTGCGTCGATGATAATGTAGTTACGTTCCATCTCTCCATTTAATCGCTTCGAGTCGATTTCCTGATGAGCGATGCGAAAGTACTCAGCGATATTTCAGGAAGTAGCAATTTCCGTGATTTATATCGCGCGATGTCTTCCTTAATGCGGAGAACTTTATCGCCGGTATTATTCAATAAACATAACGAGCGCGAAACATCGTCATAAAGGATATTAAAATTTCTGTAACTGATTTACGTGTTACTTTATTGATTTGCAATTTGTGCGAATGTATGATCGTGAGGGTGCTGTTTTTTTTGTTTCTAGATCAATCAGCTGGTTGAGGAGGTATCTAGACTACAGCAGAGTCTGCAACGCCTTCAGGAGACAAGCGCGCAAGCAACGGCGCGGCTGGAGGAGGAACTTGAAGTACGCAGGCAACACATCAGCAGACTGGAGAGCAAATTAGAGCGGCAAAGGGATTATGACGACTTGAAGCGCGAGATCAGCGTGCTGAGGTCAGTCGATCTCTCGCAGATACCAACCGGTGAACCTGGAAAGAGCTTAGAACATCTTCTTATGGAGCGCTTCAAGGCGCTTCAACAGGCCGAAAATCTGAAACCCTCCAACACACCCGACGCACTCGGTAAGTGGACCAATGATATATTCTATACAAAATCTTTATATACATATATATATATACATATACGAGGTACTTGACTTTAGAGGATTGAGAATATTTGACATGGGGAATGCATAAAATGCGAAATTGCAGAATCGAGTTAGCTGATTTTCAGCGTTGTAATATAATTACATCAAACTCAATTATTTGCGAATATTCTTATTTTGAGAAAGTAGAACATTTATCAATATTATCTTCAGGAATAAATTACAATTAATAAATTAAAAACATGGAAAAAAATTCATCTAATACTTGGAGAAATCTATAATCACGTTAGACTTCTGTTTCGTATCGAAAGAAGCAGAAATTAGGTAAGAAAAAAAAAAGGGAATGAACGAGGTGTCGGTAGGCCGGTTACACCTCGGCGATCTCGCTTCTGATTCTTGCGCTGCCGCTCTGATCTTCGGTCCCCGACTCTCTCTCTTCGAGGCTCCGTCGACGGGCTTTATCATCGAGTAACAATGAAAAGGACACGAGTCACGCAACGCGGACGCAAGAACGCTTTTGTAGAATAAACGAGGGATGACTGAAGGAGCTTATCGAAAAAAAAAGAACAACAAAAATAACCCTGCTTGCCATTGTGTTCGCACTTTTCTCTGACTCTCTCTCTCTCCCTCTCTCTTTTTCTCTATTTCTCTCTTTCTCTACCTCTTTTACTATTTTCCTTTTGATCTCTCTCTTTCTCTCTCTCCCCTCTCTCTCTGTTATTCTTTTTGTCTATCTCTGTTTTATCATTCCTATATATATATATATATACACATATATCTCTCTCTCTTTCTCATATACTTCATTCTCCGAATCTTCGCTGCTTAGATTGCACTTTTTCGAGCCACTCTAATACGTATATTAACGTACATTCGTGGAAGGTACTAACGCAACGAAACACACATTTACTCTCCATCTCCCTCCTCTATAGGCCCGCCCTGTCTCTTACCGAATGTTTCTCCTCTCTTGCCCGCGTAGAGAGTCCTTTAAACCTCTCCTCCCGTCTACTACCCGTCCGTACACTGGGAAACGCAAACTTCGTGCACGCAAATTTGTGGACGATATTCGCAATATTTGCCCGGGCCGAGCCATTGTTTCGGGGACAGAGTTTATTATGAATCGATCCAGGCTGACAGAGAGAGTGCGCGATGAGAGAGAATGAGAAAGAGAGACACTCTATACACGCAGAGAGCCAGAGATACTGCAACGTGTCACCCCTTCTGAATCAAACCGACCGAAACCCACCCTTCTACGTCGTCGTTGCCACTCGCGGTCCTATCTTTCCGATCCCTACGCTACCTCCTTCAACCATAACGGAGTAAGAGCATCGTTTCTACGCGGAGGTTTCAAACATTAAACATCCTTGTACGTCGAGACCACGTGGTAGCACAACAGAACTCTTTTCGCGTTCAGCTCGATTTAAAAAAAAAAAAAAACTGCAATACTTTCCATACAGTATTTTATTTTTATTGTTTATTTTATCTTTATTTTTGTAGCTTTTTATTTTATTTTCAATCCTGCGATTATCCTGACGATCGTAACAGCTACGTCGCAATACAAAGACGTGTCTTATTCGACGCGACAGATGCGCGATTTTACGAATCCGTACGCGTCATCGCGATCAACGTTCACCGCGAAACGGACGCGTTTTTACGTCCACGATTTCTTTCCGGACGATCGACAACGCCTCCACAGTCCTCCTCTCGTTGGCGTCCACGTCGTTCCTCGTTTGTACACTCAAGCGTGGATTACGATTCGACGAAGCGTCGAAAAAGAGAGTCTCGGTCATCCGTCGTCCCGGAAGACAATCAAGAGAGCCGAAGTCACCGCTCGATTTCGCACGTCGAAAGATACAGCGCGCGGCCGGACCGGCGATCAGAACGGGAACAACAAATTATCCAGATCCCCATCGCGAGCCGAAGTTAGGTTGAGTGTCATGTACGCGTGAGATCGTGCTGACGGGCTCCCTTGTGTTTTTGGTGGTTGCAGGTGGATTATCGTCACCCCTGCAGCGCGCCTCGACCGCCTCGCCCCACGGGGTCGGAGGTGTGCCACCTACGTCCCATGTGTCCTCCCAACAACCACCGCCACCTCCAACAGCAGTCTCCCTCCCCCCACGTTCCACCCCGACGCCCTCTTCGGCCACTTCGACGACTTCGAGCCTCCTCTTCCCGCCACCCCTCCAGAACGTCGAGACTTTTGGCTCGTTCCTCGGTGAAGAAATCGTCGCCAATTGGAGGCGGACATTGGAAAGGTCTATCATAAGCCAGCAGCAGCAACAACAGCAACAGCAGCAGCAGCAGCAGCAGCAGCAACCGCAGCAGCCGCCGTCGCAATCGTCTCAATTAAGCCAATTAACTCAACAGCAGCAACAATTGCAACAAGCCCAACCGCACATGGGTTTACACCCGCCAACAACGCCAAGTAGTTTAAATCATCTTCCGTCACCGGGCACAGATCCGTCATCCACCTCGAACACACCGGCCAAGTCGAACACGCCGATCGGCACGACACCCCTGGGCAATCTAGAGGTGACAGAAAAGGCGCCGACGCCGGTATCGGGACACGAGACGCCGGCACCGCCGACGCCATCCTCCACAACCGCCTTAACATCGCCGCCGAGCTTCCAGCCACCTACGTCAATGGTGGAGACCAGCAATCCTTCGGCTTCCATCAACGGCGGCGGTCTGACGCCTGGCGTGCCGAGCGCACCGCCGCCGAAAAGCCCGGCCGATCAGGAATCATGTCACAACAATAACAATAGCCATCATCTGGCGAACAATAACATCGGCGGCCTGAGCGTTCTCGACCAGCTGAAGAGTCCGTTTCGGTTCGACGATCGAACGTATCCCTTCCGATTCGGCGACGAGTTCGGCGCCGCCGGTATGGCCGGTCGACTTGGCGAATCCCTCATACCGAAGGGCGATCCGATGGAGGCGAGACTGCAGGAGATGCTGCGTCATAATATGGACAAATACGCCTCGCAGAATCTCGACACTCTTCACATAGCCAGACGGGTGCGCGAGCTGCTGTCGATACACAATATCGGTCAGAGACTGTTCGCCAAGTACGTTCTTGGGCTGAGCCAAGGCACGGTTAGCGAGTTGCTTAGCAAACCGAAGCCGTGGGATAAGCTGACCGAGAAGGGCCGTGACAGTTATCGGAAGATGCACGGTTGGGCTTGCGACGAGAACGCCGTATTGCTGCTCAAGTCTCTGATCCCCAAGAAAGGTGAGTACCGATCATCAGTTCCAGCTCTCTCTCTCCGTTTCTCACTTGTGAAATTTTTTTTTGTTTCGTACAACTTCTCGACGCGCCTCTGCGTTACGTCCGACACGACGAAGGCTGGATCGCCTGACGTCTCGATATCCACGAAGACGGACGAGACATCGTAATTACACACGTCGCTACATTGTAGCGCGTACTCGTGGCAATCGTGATTAATTTTACTTCCTTCCACGCCTTATAAGCGCGATAAATCGCGCATTTACGGAAAAGTTCAACATAGACCCCGTCCGAAGATGCGTGAATCGAATATGTTCGGTGAGTGTGTAATTACGTTGGATTATTCGTCTTTGATTTCCCGAGACACCAAACGGCAGCGACGATTCTCTCACAGCGAGTCGTTCGTTCGCCACGAGGTGCTCTCTCGCCTTCGCCGTCGACGACCTGTCGATTGACTTGACTCTCGAAAATTTTCCGCCTCGCACTGCCAATAATCCATCTCGCCGAATCACTAACCACGAGCTGTCAGCTAACTTCTTGGCTGCCTAACGCAGGGCGCACGATGGTATTTCCGTTCCCTCTAACTGCACCGGGAAAGGAACGCTCATATTCAAACATCACATCCCTCTGCTGATACGTACGATTAGGGAGCTAAGTATGCGTTGGTGACATCGTGGGCTTTCACTATTTAAGTTTCGCTTATGAAATTTGAAGGACCAAGACCGGATAAATCTTGCAAATCATCGACAGAAATTAATTGCGGCGAAATAATTCACGAGAGCGTTGCAATAATTATTCACCGATAGTATTAATGAATTACAACAGATTTATATATGTATATATATATCTTGGTAAGTGAAAAAAAAAAAAAAATGCTTCAGTGCATCGACATATTGCGCTTGTTGCGCTAAACGAAATTGTCTTCAATATTTGATGCAAAAATTCATACGCTGTATCCAGGCTTGAGCAGCTATAGTCTTAATTAAATTACGCAGCTCGTTGGCATACCTTGCCCGCTATCGATTGTATGCTGCGTTTGGCAGCCATATTGTTTAGACTAATAGCTCCTGGGAATAGGAAGCCCTGGATGAGTACTGGGTAGGGGTGAGATGTATAAAGGGCTCCGCGGTGTATAGAACGGGGGAGAGACGGGAGAAGAAAGGAAGACAAGATCCAATGGAGAACATAGAAATCCTAAACGCGCCGGTCTATACTTATCGCGGAAGGCAATTTACACTTTTCTTATTACCTTGCTAGATTATACCGAGTAAATACTGTTTTATCTAAGAATCTTTGCAAACGTTCTTGCGACATTCGTAGCGCGATTAGAAAGATTACTATACTTTCTTCCGCGACGATAAAGTTACGAGTGTAATATCGTAATAAATTTTTCCTCGCTCGTTTCCAATTTTTTTTTTTTTTTTTCTTCTTTTCAACACGTATTCTCGCAGCGACGATGCGCATTATAAACGAGCAGTACGCGACCGTGCGATCCCTTCCGCTTTTTTGTAAATATTAATATCAATCGCGCAGGATGTTGACTCAATGCCATCATTTTCCCTTCACGTCCGGTGACGAAATAAAATGTGTATAAAATTCAGCCGGAGCACGACATGCGTCCCGCATCAATGGATTGTCGGTTTCCGTCGGATCTCTCCGGTAACAACAATCACGGGGCATTACAGCGGACAGAACGGAGTGCACGCGAGAAAGGGAGGGACAGAACAGCAACAGGAACGAAGGGTTAGGGCGCTCGTGGGGCGGCGGGAGGGAACTGGTGACAAAAACTTAGAGGGTCGTAACGTTTCTCGATGCGTCAGCCGTAAAATTATAGGGACGCGTGTGTGCGTGTCGTGCCGTGGCGTGAGCACGGTAATAAATCAGGACTGCAGGAATCACCGCTAATGCAATCATTGAAATTAGTCAAGTGAGCCGTGGAAAGAGATAAAAAAGAGATCGCAACAAGAAATACCGATTGTCGCTGTTAATCAATCCGTTTTAAATGCAATTTCTTTCTATACATCCGAGTGTTATCTCGATTCTAGATTACGAGGAAAACGTTACGTTTATGTATATATGTACAGCACGTTTGTATATGAGCTAACAGAAGCGTATCATGCTACCGCGCAAAATAATTCACAGCTATTAATAGTATAAATCAAGTCGGTGCAAAAATAGTTGCGATCAGTTGAACATTTATTGTCCGCATTAAAAATATAGCACCATCATCAATACGGAGGGTTCTTTAGCCGCTGGATTAATCATTCACCGCGGCCATTTGTTCGTATGAATCATGACCGTGGGCTCTTTGTGATCGTAACGAGAGACCGGCGAGGTTCAATAGCATAAATATACTTGGAGTAATGTCCGAAACTTCTATAATCAGGCGTGATTTATGGGCAAAAATCGGTGGCTTTATAAAGCCTGAAAGGCGCCGCCTAGCTTTTGGTGGAGGTGTCGGTTAAGATAAGTTTGCGTCGGGTTAAATACCTGATCTAACGACTCATCGCGCTATATAGACAGGCTTAGGCGGCGCGGCACCAACCTGTCGCTGAAAGCTTTATTGTGATCTGTGAATCGACTTCGCGGTCACCTTATTTATCATTCGTGCGCCTGAAAACTGTTACCATTACAATGGGCTATTGATCTTGGGACAGAGATGATTTCATCTTAGTTCACGGCAACAATCTTTTGGATGCAACATAAATCGTGTACATAATTATTGCATGCGCCGAGCAAAAATTGTAAAAACTCTGTAAATTATCGTCCGCAAAACATCACGTGATATTCCTCAATCCTTCTTACACTTGTACTTATTTACGAGCGCAGTATTTTTCGCGAAAATGTTTGTAGAAATTTACGCGCGCGTCTGTAACGCTGACAATGAATTTGCTCGCGTGTAGTTCAGGGTGAGATGATTTGGATCCAGTTAACGTCGCCAGAGTCCTCGGGTTCCGGTGGCCTAAATCACGGCGCGTTATATAAATTACGTAGATATCTCTCAGTCAGAGTCGCTTAAGGGGAGATGCAAAAATCGCGCATTCGTAGAAGCTGCTAATCCTACGACAAACATATCTGGATCTTGGCCCACTATTCAGCGCGGCACGTCCGAGCGGTTTATTATTGCTCGCGGAGCGCTGCAACACAATCGATCTAAGCGCGCACCAAGAGCAACGCACAGCGAGATTACCGTAATAAACATAGTTGGTCTAGTTCCAAGTCAGTTTATTGCAGAATTTTGTTTCCTGCAGCGGTGAACGCGCGCGCCGAATTCTCGCCGGAGACTTCACACAGAACGGCGACCATCGTGGATGAAAATCATGGTGGCGATGATTTGCAGCGAGAAACATTATGGGCTATACTTATGACCACATAACTACGATTTGTATGCGAGTGACGGGACATTTATGCTTTTATATAACTGATATAATTATCGTATTTTACGGGGAGCACGATTATAGACAGATTTTCCGTTATAGTTGCGTCTATAATTATCAATGCTATAATTATCAATTAAAACTCGATTAGTAAAAGTACATATATATAGAAAGCATAACCAAACCGGTGTCAGAAAAAGTGTTCTCTCGGCGACTGCGGATATAAAAGTATCTCATCTCTAGTACGTTGACCCGATTCGAAAGAGATAACATTATCAAAGTGCGACAGTGATTTCAAAACTCGTGGCAGTCTTCGCAAGCAGCAGTGTATCATCTGTGAACTCACATATATAGAATATTAAATGAAAATTACGCGACTGGTGAGATTCACACAGGTCATTAAAAGACCAGCGCTGATTGTCGGTCTGCCCGTTTACAGATCTTTATATTGTAGTGCTCATAGGAAAGTTATTTATCGATCGTTCTTGCGAACTTAGATAAAACTTTTTCAGGCTGCTTTTAATCGCATAACTCCAAGGTAAACTTTTACCTCGACTTAAGAGACACGAATTATCTTGTGCATAAAATTTTTACACTATTATATCTCCTACTGCTTGCATATATTATTATATCTCTTACATAATAAAACTTATGCAGCGCTATAAAAGAAGTGTCTTTAAGTTGCCGTTTTATTTGATATGCTTATACTACATTGAAAAGTGGTTTCTTCTAAATCACACTAGAGTAGTTTCTAACGAGAACGGAGCTGATTTAGATTTAATTTGCAAGAGAATCGTTTTTAATCTTAAACGCACGCGTCCGATTCTGTTTTAATTGCTGGACGCTGGAGAAAAATTGGCACAACCATGTTTTACTGTGATTGCGTATCAATAAAACAAGCTGTAAACAACGAGGTGTACAATGGAATTATAAAATGTATTTATATCTACGGCGTTATTTGAGTATCGTATAACAGAAAATTCGCAATGTTTTCCCCTCGAACGAACGTGCCAACTTTGCGAGAAAACTCAAGCTAATGCGAAGAGCATTATGCATTAGTTTCCACATACACGCGCACTTTCCACAAATCTGCGATCGCGAGTCGCGACGCGTAGCGTTCGGAAGCGTCGCAATCCGTAACCCGCGCTCGCTCGCTCCCGCAACAATCGGGTGAATTTCTTAAGTTATTTCACCGTTACTGACGAACTCCCACGAAATCGTTCCAGATTTTGTAATCAGGCCCATTGTCGGCATCTCTCCCTCGTATCGCACCGCGCTTTGCGCGCCCGTGTGTACGCGGGTCGCGTCGCGTGCAACTGCATGCGCCGGGACAATTTTACGGCGCGAATATAATTGCCGGTGGTGCGCTACGGTTTCCTTTCCGGCGAAACACGCGCGAGTACGCGTACGCGAACATTTCCTTCTCTCGCGCCCATTGTGTGCCGCGCGCGGCCGCGATTGTTCTCTCTTTCGTCGATTCCCCGTAACCGGTCTTTGATGCCGCGACGCGATCGGGACGCACGCCGACCGTGACGTTTCGCCATCCGCAGGTGTGACGAAGGTGCCAGCGAGCGGGCGCGCAATCGCTGAGAAAAGTATGGATTTAGTGCGCAAAGCTCGTAACAATGCGCGACGTGCCGCGACGTTGCGTAAGCGGCCGGGCCATTTTCCAAGCGACTTATCCCGCCATCGTGATTTTTCAAATCGTGGGAAATCACTGCACGTATGAACGATCGAAATAACGACGAGATGAAAATCTCTTATCATTTTTTAGTATCAAGATTATACAATATGCGTTCACGCCGTATTTTCCAGAACAGTAATTTTAGCCGGCTTTCCGCCTCTAACATAACGTCATTCTTTAAAGCTCGTGATGTAACGCTCCGAAATATAATTTCATCAAATTTGCTGGCACCTAGCATACGCATAATACATCCGCACTCGGCGCGAAACACAAGGCGAGCGCCTAAAAAGTGGCACACGCAGGTTGATTCGCGATTGAGCAAACCTGTGGAAAAATGTTTCTTAATTGAGAGAAACATTGTGAACTCGCAGCGATATTATTCATTGTGCGAGCTGATGAAAGTGCCTGCGGATATATATGATAAGTAAATAATTGCGCTCACGTTGCACGCGCTGCAAAGTATCGCTCGCGATCGTATTCGTCCGATAATATTTATTGTTCGACTACTTATTCTAGATTTTCTATGAGAAAGTTGCGAGAGAATGTCGGTGCGCGAACGTATAATCAGCCAAGGCACAGTTTCATACACGATGCGCATAAGGTTTCTCACGTGGTGCCGTCCAAGTATCCGCGGAAAGGAAGATGCTAGTGATGCAAGTGACCCATCTTCCACCGTCAATTTCCAACGAGACTAAAATACACTGTCGTGTGACAGCATTTGATTTGCATGAGAGAGCGGCATAATAAAATCAAATAAAAAAATGGAAAGAAATTCGAAAAACGGCATGTCAAAATTGACATCTTTAGTAATAATTGCGCGGCAATTTTGAAATATCAGCGAATTGTAAGGAAAAATTTGTTTGCTTTGATATTTTCGGAATTGATCAAACTCCGCATGATACTATTTTCACGAACGATTTAAAATATTGTCACCGAAATTCGAAGGATATATTCCGTTCGATAACGACGACGTTGATTTTGTAAACCAAACCGCAGATAATTTTACCCACCGAAAAAGGCGCGTGTAGTGACCTCATTTTTCTTATCTCGGTATACCGGTAAACACTATTCCGTACACGTAATCATTATATATGCTTCTTCGAATTCGGCGATAATTATTTCCAGCTATGTTTGTCAGAAGATTATTTCATACCAATTATTTTCATATTTACAGAGTTTATCTTCTAAATATTTATCAATATATAAATAGCTATTATCATATCGCAATAAAGTCTTATATTTTGGAAAAAACTTTGAAGCGTAGTCGCGCGGGTATAAATTTATTGCGAGAAATTCAAACGTTGCGACAAATGTGCGACTGTCATTCTTTTTTTTTCTATATTCCGTATTTCATTCACACCTGTTTGGATCCACCCATCCGATCGTAAAATGTGTGCGCGCACGTTTGGCGCGGATGTTATTTTACGCGGCGAGCCTGCCGATTTCCTTACACAGAAACTGATGTAATCATCCATCAGCGTTAAAGCGTATAATAAGGCGGTATTGCGAGAGAAGTTAAGCTTCTTCGGAGGACCGATACTAATACGGAAAGGCGACGAAAAAGAGACATTATTCTTCAGTTAACCCGGGACTTGCCACACGCGCGATAGATACGATTGCTTACAGTACTGACAGTAATCGTACCTACACAGCGAACGATACAAAGTAATGGTGCAAAACCGTAGTTGCATTAGCTTGCGGATCGCGTCTAGCAAGAATTATTTCGCAATCGTGGAAATCGCATCAAGTGGTTTCCATGATTGCACATTCAAGTAAGAAACGTCGTATCTTGATGGATAGGATGGCCCAAAGATTATTTTTTCCACGAGATTAAAACACGCGTGCGATTCCTCGTCGCGCATCAAGTCGCTTTTCCTCCCGCCGTCGCTCGCGAGAGCAATCAAAGACATGATCGATGGTTCGCTCGTCTGAATCTTTCAGCTGATTGGTCAATTAGACGGGAAACACGTAGGAGGACTACACTCCTGCCGACGTGCAGGGGAAAGACCGCAAGGGAGAGGGTCCAGAAGAGGATATTTTAATTATCGTCGTTGAGTATACTTCGCCTTCGGGTTCAGCACGCAGTTATCGATTGCGCGCGATATTAATTGCTTACAAGCATAAAATCATCCTCCAAATATGACTCGCTCCTATGTAGCTCGCTTTCACCCTCCGGAGAAACATTCTTCGCTTAATGGAAGTGAATGTATGAAATGTCTGAAATATCAATTTGAGATTTTGCAACAATTTATATTGGGTTAATTTTCATACGAATCGCACGATTGCGTAACAAGGTATTAGATGAATAACATCACTTCTCGAGAGACAGAGCGACGATTTTAATCGAAGGAAAAGGCGTTGAACAAACGCGTCGAGAATTCTTTGTGTTTTTAGTTTAGTTTATTTCTATATATTTTAGTTTATACTTTTAAGACCACACAAACTGAGTAAGAATACACCACAAGTTGTGCTTCACCCGTAGAGTATGTTTCAGGCAAGGAGCAGGGAATGCCAGCGTTCGCACGTGGACCACAGGATGGTGGTCCGCCGGAAATAAGTGACGAAAGATTGGCGCATATACTCTCGGAGACGGGCCATATGCAAATGCGGGGTGAGCACGAGGTGTCGAACGACGCCGACAGCAAGAGTCCGAGTAGAATCGGTTGCCCGAGTCCGTTCAACAAAGACAGACTGGACAGCCAAAACAGGAGACTGAAGAAGTACGAAAACGACGACATTCCCCAGGAGAAGGTAGTGAGGATTTATCAGGAGGAACTGGCCAAGCTGATGGGCAGGAGGGTGGAGGATCTCCGCCCGCGAGAGTTCCCTAGGTAAGATTACAATTGTGACGTGGATTTGCTTACCGAAGTTTACGTCACAGCTCAGGCGAGTGACACGCGATCTCCGTCAATGTACGATGAAGACCGAACGGATGACACACGGCTGAATTAATACGTTATATTTGCTCAGATGCTATGACACGAAATGTCAGGAATAAATCGGCGTTTCGTGATGAGAAATCTTTATTTTGACGCCAACACACAGCTTGCCGTGTTACTTAAATCGAATATCAAAATGCTCTAGACATCGCGCATTTAGATATTTCTTGTATAATTAAAAAAAAAGATTTTCCAATACGATTGGTCTAATTTACAGTTGATTTGCTAGTTTAGAGGCTTGCGCAATGATTTCTAAAGGAAATTTCAGTTGGCAATCACAAGTCTTCTTCAAAATATCTCATTTTTTTTCCGAATTTTATCGGTCGTCGCAATAAACAATATCGATCAGCGTTCAATATGATCTGAGCCTGTCTGTTTCTCCGGTATTTAATACATCTGTTCGCAGTCGAACTAAATTATTATATTTTCTTTTAAATTTTACCTATCCTACTGCATATATACTGTCATATAGTGTTTACGTACAACTGCGTCATCGCGATTGATTATTATTGAGGACAGCACGCGACCTCGATTGACCGTAGTGCGATCTTTCCACATTTTTTCAGTGGCGCTCAAGGTGGTCTTCAAGGCATCGAACGCACCCAGGAAGACATCCGAATGGCATTGGATGCCTATCACCGTGAACTTCAAAAGTTGAATGCCGCGCCGGGTCAGAATTCTTCGATGACCGGATTGCCGGGACTGCCTGGACTTCCAGGCCTGCTGGCGTTGCAGCAACAAGCTCTTCAGCAACATCATTTGGCCGCGAACGGCGGCGGCGGTGTTCAGGACTTGAGTTTAGGCAAAGTGGATCCGCGCAATAAAATGATAAACGGCGTGTCGGAAGAGGAGAAAGAGAAGATGGAGGAGGCGATGAGACATGCCGGAAGTGCGTTCTCTCTGGTGAGGCCGAAACAGGAATCGACAGGGCCGCAGTCGACGCCCGGCGGTTCCAGCGCAAGTTCGCCGCTCGGCAATTCCATACTTCCTCCCGCGATGACACCCAACGAGGAATTTTCCGGCGCGGCGGCAGCCAGTCCTCTACAGAGGATGGCCTCCATCACGAACAGTCTGATAAGTCAACCGTCCACGCCAACTCACCACTCGGCCAATCAAAGGCCGCTGAAAGCCGTGCTTCCTCCGATCACGCAGCAACAGTTCGATCTTTACAATAATCTCAACACCGAAGACATCGTCAAGAGGGTAAGTATCGATCGATCGATTCAAGTTTTGTACAATTTATTATTTGTCTAATCTTACCTAACATTCATTTGTAATGTGCAGGTGAAAGAACAGCTGTCTCAGTATTCAATTTCACAACGGCTATTCGGTGAATCAGTATTGGGTCTGTCTCAGGGATCGGTATCAGACCTCCTCGCTCGCCCTAAACCATGGCATATGCTGACCCAGAAGGGTCGCGAGCCCTTCATTCGAATGAAGATGTTCCTCGAGGATGACAACGCGGTTCACAAACTGGTAGCCAGCCAGTACAAAATCGCTCCGGAGAAGCTAATGAGGACCGGCGGCTACGGCGGCCTGCCTCGTAAGTTTAACTCAGGTCAATATAGATGTTTTGTTACTTTATTATCAACGTAGTTCGGGAGCTCTGGTATGTCTGTCGAGCACGACGTCACGATGGATCTTGTTACGATTTTATAAAGCGGTTTTGTAAACGAGCATGAAATTTTCGCTACTTCTTTGTTATAAATTGAGAGTTGTAGTGACACGATCTTGAATAGAAAGAAATAAAAAAAAGAATTGCGTTCTGACGTTCGTAGATGAGCTTTCGGACTATCAAATTTTGATTACACTGAATTTTCTTAACCGAGTTTTTCACTTTTACAGCGTGCGGAACACCCATGAAACCTATGCCGCCAACGAAACTCGTCCAAGAACAACTTCAAAATGCGGCGAAAGCACAAGCCGCCGCCGCTCAAGCGGCCGCGCAAGCGGCAGCGCAACAGCATCAGCAGGAGAATCAGATGCAACTCGGTCCGCCTCAACAAAGCCCTCAGCTTCCTCAGCATCCACAGCCGCCGCCGCCGATGATGTTGACTCCGCCCGGACCCCATCATCCTCATACTCAGCTCAGCATGCAGGAACTGCAGAAGAAACAGCAGCAACAGCAACAGCAAATGTCATTGCACTCGCCGCATCATCAAATGGCACCGTCGCCTCTTCGAAGTCTCCATCCGCATATTTCACCGAGCGTGTACGAAATGGCTGCGCTTACGCAGGATCTCGACACACAGACAATTACTACGAAGATCAAGGAAGCGTTATTGGCGAACAATATCGGCCAGAAGATCTTCGGTGAAGCGGTTCTTGGCCTGTCGCAGGGTTCCGTCAGTGAATTGCTGAGTAAACCGAAACCGTGGCATATGCTAAGCATAAAAGGCCGCGAGCCATTCATCAGGATGCAGCTTTGGCTGTCAGACGCGCACAACGTCGATCGATTGCAGGCGTTGAAGAACGAGCGACGGGAGGCGAACAAGAGACGACGCAGCAGCGGTCCCGGTCACGACAACAGTTCCGACACATCAAGCAACGACACTGCCGAGTTTTATCACGCGGCATCGCCCGGTCCGGGACCCACCACCGGAAAGAAGCAGCGCGTTCTCTTTTCGGAGGAGCAGAAAGAAGCTCTTAGACTCGCTTTCGCCCTGGATCCGTATCCCAACGTAGCCACCATCGAGTTCCTCGCTGGTGAACTCGCCCTATCCTCAAGAACGATAACGAACTGGTTTCACAATCATCGAATGAGACTGAAGCAACAGACGCCGCATGGCCAACCGGAACCGCAATCGCCGCGAGAACCCGGCCAGCCGTTTGATCCTGTCCAATTCAGATTACTATTGAACCAAAGACTGCTGGAAATCCAAAAGGAGAGACTGGGTCTAGGAAACGTACCCTTACCTTACTCTCCGTACTTTAATCCCAACTTGGCGGCCCTCGTAGGTAATGCGCTGAAAGAACAATGCTCCGGTCTCGATCTCTCGATGAACTCCCTGAAGAGAGAGCCAAATCAAGAATTCGAGGATGAGGATGTCGAGGACGCGATGAGTAATCTCGGTAGCGAGGACTCGGAGGGCTCGGCCGGTAGTATAAAGAGAGAACCGACAGAAACGCCGTCGGCACCCGCGACGGTCAGGTCTAATAGAAGAAAACCCGCGGCACCGCAATGGGTGAATCCGGAATGGCAAGAACCGGCGAGAGCGGGCGACGAGGTGATTATCAACGGCGTCTGCGTGATGCAGACGGATGATTACGGCGTGAAGAGAGAGGCCGAAGAGACTATAAGAGTCGAGCCGACTCCGGTGCAGGATCGATATGAAGAGGACGCTCAAAGTGACGTCTCATCCGTATCCGGCAATAACGGCGCCGATCGGGATAGTCCGCTACCCAGTCCAAAGTCCGGTCAGAATAGTCCAGCGACGTCGCTCAGACCGCCGTCGGCGCAACAGACGCAACAGTCTACGGAAGAAAGTCCGAAGGACGTAGTGAAGCACGAGCCGGAGGAAACGTGGGACTACTAGGACAATTCGGAATTCCGTAGGATTACTCGCGAGCTCAGTGTTTCTCCTTCGGATTATGTGGAAAGAACGCAAGCGAGATTTCCAACATGTCCCCAGGGTCGCATTGTTGAGATATGCCAAAACGACGCTTTGTAAGAAAAGACGTTCCACGAGGATCACCGGTCGTAGTTAAGTTTTAAACGAAGAAAACCAGTTATAGGACTCGATCGTGCGAGTCCTGCCTACCACGAGGGCATTATCATAGAGAGGCAAACGCGAAGTACTAAGGACGTTCTTGGACGAGGAAAAAAAAAAAAAAAAACCAGAGGATGTCTTGGTCGACGGACGAGCGCTAGGCGAGAGCTAAACGAACAAAACGATCAAAACTGAAACGGAGCTCAATCAAAAGGACTCACATTGTGACGTTTTCTACGCGGCAAGTGGTACGAGATTAGTGTCGGTGCGCGCGGATCAACGGCAAAATCGTATCATTTAGAAGACTGTGAAGTACAACGGGGCCGACTGTGAGACGACGGGTTCTCGTTGCAATTCGCTCGAAATTCAAGAGAATCCTGGCTGCTTTCGTTTTCGGATGACATCTCCCTTCGGTGATGGATGATGGGGTGATGGGGTATCGTTCCAGAGAGAGAGGAAGGGAGACGAGTGGACTAGATAAATGCACGGAAAACGGAGGCGGTTCGGATTCGCCACAGTGCAATCTCCCAGTAAACTAATTGTTAGATCGAATTATTATTAATTTTTAACGAAAATTGCGCGCGACGAAATGGCCGATTAATAATTATTGCATAATTGTGATTCATGTTATTGTTTATACTTGCCTCCCTATCCCCGATAGTGATTAAGCTGTTAATGTTACATACTTCTCTCTCTCCAGTTGCGTACCTTTTTATCTCTTTCGGTTAAGAGTCGACGTTTCCTTTTCCTCCTTTTTTTCCTATTTCTTGCTTATCCGTCTATTTATAAAACTGCGAGGAAAATGATCACTTAAGACCGTTACCAATGTTATATTATCACTGCTATTATAATTATTAATATTATTAATATTATTAATATTATTATATAATTATCATTATTAAATATTCTCAGTTGTCAAGCACTGTCATCGATGATTACTATTTTTACGTTGATATGTTGAACGGCGTGAATGTAAAATACCAAAAAAGAAAAGTAAATTTATTTGTTTTACGAGATAATTATTTAAACTTCCTTTTTCTATATTTGTTGGGAACTATTAGCTGCGCTAAAACAATTGGTGATGAATGTTTTTGACGATTATTATTTAATATTATTTTTATTATTATTAAATATTGTATTATTAGGTTTATGTTATTATTGGTATCATTATTATTGTCATTATTATATCAGTAATCATTATTTTATTACTATTAGAATCATTGTCACAACAACAATGTGGCTTCTAAAGCCAATGTGATAGAGCTTATAATTGCGACGATACGTAGAAGAAAAGAGCGTGCGGGCGAAAGACGAACGGACACGCGGACTTCATTGAACGAAGCAAGCGAGAGATTGCGCGAGCCTAAATTGGCGAAAGTGCGATTTCTGGCGTATGTAAATATCTGTACAAAGGAAAAGAGCGGAAGAAACTTCGTAATACAAACACAAAAAACTACATACTATACATAACACACACATACACATACACACACGACATATACATGATCTTGTATATTTACTTATTTACCACACTTAACTATCTAATAGCATACGAATATATCCACGCAGACTAACAGCGATACATATTTGAGCGACTGCACGTTGAATTTTCATTTGTCGCAATCAGCGTTGCACGTCTTCTGAATAAGCTCGCGTAATCAGCTGCGAGCGATGAGATAAAAAAAAAGAAAAGAAAATTGAAGTCACCGGTTTGCTTGTTGCGATCCGTGAAAATGCAGCGTTCGCGCTATTATAAACGGCGTCAAGAGAGAACACATATATAATTATGAGAATTTGCCGTAAATTATTGATGCCTAGAAGAGAAAAATGTGCAGAAGACACTTCGAGGCGATTCACAGCGAGACATTACGAGCGAAAGGACGAGCGAATGGGAGAACGCGTGCGTGCATGATCAACTTCATAAGAGAGAGAGAAAGAGAGACAGTCCTCGAATTATTACGAATCAAACTAGTATTTACCAGAATAAATTTTAATCTTCAATTAAATTCTAGTCCGCAGTTAAAAATAAAAAAAAGAAGAAAGATAACAGACGCGAATGATATTGTATGAGGCAAAGAGATAGGAGGAGTTCGTGCGAGACGATCGCTTCAGAAGGGCATTGCTAAACAAAAGACCAGTGATCAATCGATTCTTTTTCCCCGCCTTCCACCTCCTCTTAACCCCCCCGATTCTTTTTTTTAAGTTTTTCACGAATCGTCACGGAACGACGGAAGTCGATCGGATCGGAATATCGAATGTGTACATATTGCTATATTGGTGCGATTACAACTCGTAACTTAAATGACGCCTATGATTCCGCCTGTCGACGAGTGATCTGAATACTCATCGAGTAGTCTATAATAGTCGACGAGAATATGAACAATCGCGACAGACGAGATCACGGCAAACATCTCCGTACTTCGTCGATATCGGATGATGTATCGATGGGATTGCGACGGAAAAAAAAGCTCTGGACAAGTTACGGTGAAGCAGGGAGAAAGACGGAGAACAAACATACGATCTCAAATCTTCGATTACCAAACTAAATTATTTTTGATCGAGTGTTAGTTTAATATTCATCCTTTTCGATTATCTCACGATTGAGTTAATTATACGACTGACGCCAATCGCGAATCCGTGGATAATCACCGATTCTCATCGACATCGGAGATCAAACGAGCGCTCGTTTTTTAAGAATCTATTACAGATAGAACAATAGCGACTCGTGTTGATGAGATAATCAGATTTTAATCGCAATCGGCGGCCAAAATGCTGACGGATAAACGATTTATTATATATATATAATATATTTATATGTATATATATATATATATATATATATATATATATATATATATATATGTATATATATATATACATTCACAATTATGATTGTTTCTCTGTTCTTCATTTGCGGCGAACAAGCGTAAGCGCATAGATTCTTTGTAGATACAGGATAGCCGGTAGATAGCCGATAGCTTTAATTATTTAAACGGTACAACTTTTATGTCGAGGGCAAAGATCGACGACCGTCTAGGATATACGACGAACATGTAATATAACGTAACGATACACAAGTGCGTAATTGCGTGCGAATATACGAGCTGTTAGCGTTATCAACAACGGCGGGAAGGAGGGAAATCATATCGTAAACCTAATAATGAATATTTTACAACAAAAGATAATTGTAGATAGACATTCAAAAGCTGTTGAGGCCCCCTGGACGAAGAAGTAATGCGCGCGTGCACCGAAATGCGCGCGCGCTGGCATACGATCAAAAAAAAAAGAAGAATAAACGAACCACGAAGGACACTGTCATCCAGTAGTGAAAATAATGTATTTAAAAAAAACAAGAAGGTTTACCTAAAGTAATAGTCTATTGATTTGTATTTCATTTCGAACTGTATTATAGCTTAAAGAATATCCTGTACATTGCATAAACACACGAGCACTATTGTTTTAAATTGTACGTTTATGATTATTATACGAAGATAAAAAAGAAATAAATAAGGTATACAAAATATTGAAGATATATGAGAGATTTATTGACGATCTAGCTTAAGGGTCTTTAATATCTCCTTTACGCACGGCGCGTTGTACGAATAAATTATAATATCCACATCTTCCAATAAAAATTTCAAAACTAGAGCGATTTATTGCTAAATAATAAGTTAATTACCGCTATGGAGACATTGAGAGCATGTGCTGATCTTCTTGCTTTTATTTTCTAGCTTCGAAACACTCTTCTTGCCACATTTCGAATTTCGGCTACCGTCTTAATTAATTTTCTCTGCATGTTTTACGGTCGTCACGTGTAACTTCCGCAATTGACAAACAAATATAGATATCGCATCTATTTTCACGAAGATAGAATATTTTGTAACATTTTTAGTTACGTAGCATATAAAATGACAATTTAAAGAGCAAAAAGTGATGGCTCATCTATCTCTTTTTTCCACAAGTTACATAATTCCGTAATTCAATATTGATAAAATGCAATAAGCGTATAAAATATAATATAATGCAAAGCACTCGATGTCTCGAACGTTTTTAAATAATTACGCTGATTATTCTTGTTACTCTTGTTTTGTATAGATAAATCTTCTTGCATCCTTATTGATTTCAAATTCATAGTAGTTGTTATATATAAATATGCAATAATACAATTCAACCACGAGATAAATGGAAGATTATCTTCATTGTATATACGCGCGTATCATTATATTATTCATATCAATGTCTCCTTTCAAGAATTTCTAAATTAAAAAGCCTGTATTAAATATTACGTTGCTAATTATTATAATAACCCATCTTCTCCTCTTTTCCGTATGAACTTTGCTTTTATAGAGCTTGTAAATTGCAACCTTTTTCGAGCGCAAGTAAAGTGGCTAAAATAATTAACAATTTTTTAATTGATTAAAACAGATATTTTTAGTTCCAACATGTTATATGTATATGAAAAAAGGATAAGAAAAAGTTAGTAGATATATAATTTTTATATTTTTAATTTATTACATATATTATCCAATCAAAAAATAATTAAACACAATAATATTCTGCGTAGCAGATTTTAGAGAAACAAAAACTTAAAAATAATGCCTGAAGTGTATTATATTATATTACGGTGCTAATTTTAAATAAACTTTTATTTTTTTATTGTAATGTTTTATTGTAGCGGCATCTTGGAGCTGAATAAAGAAGCGGATGGTTCTGCAACATCGCATATGCATTGCGCACACGACTTGCAACTGGTTACCTTCAATTGCAAATATAACTTTTATGTATATCTGTGATAAAAGTATTTGAACATTCCTATTTCATATTTGATATGTACAAATATTGATTGTATGTCTTCGGTCAAAAGAATATGTATCTCACAAGTTTCTTCTTTTAAAAATCATTACTAACTCTATACGCAAAAATATTTATAAATTTATATCTCTCAAAAAATACACATAAATCTGTTCAAAATACTTTAAATTGACAATTCAAAAAGTATTCAGTGCCACTGTTAAGATAAGTACTTTTAATTGTTAAACAAAATCGTTTTATTGCCTCTGTACTTTCAAGATATTTTCATTAACTAGAAGTATATAAATGTCTCACTGCACAATATATAAGTTCAGTTCATCATCTTTTATCTAAATTGTATCCATTATTTAAATTGTTAAACATAAAAATACAACCAAAAAAAAAAAAGATATAAACCCAGTAAGCAAAATGTTAGCTGCTAATATTGCTAACATTTGGCTATCTGAGAAGTTAATAATAATAAATTAATAAGATAAAGTTTAAGTATATACAATATATAAAAATTTGCAGACAATAGATAAAATACTATTCTCACTATTATTAATAATATTATCACGAAAATTTGCATTCATTGTTTGCTGTCCAAACAATAGAAAAAAATTTGTTATTTAATAAATATTTTTATGTATGTAGTTATAAGAGTTATACGAGTTATGTTTCTAATGAGTGATAGAAATAAAATGTGATGCTATAGAAATCCACACATTTGCTTGTTGTCATGCATTCCGATAAAAAAAAATGTAATGTGATAAATAATGCATTAATGAAATGGATGAGAAAAGAGCAGGTGTAATGTAATGCAGACGTTGTTTCAATATTTGAAGATTTAATTGACAATACGAAATAATCTATAACTAGATGAAAGAATTATTCAAATTGCAACTGAAATCTTAATTTAACTCGAACGAATTTGCTAAGAGGAAAGAATTATTTAAATTTCAACTTAATTGTAATAAAGAACCGCAAGTTTACTTTATAAGGAAAGCTCCGCGTACTCTGCACACAAGTGATACAGTTCAAGATTGAGTATCTCATAGCATGTACATGTATGTTACGTTACGAACACTAACTGTAATTATTGGTATATTAACAATAATATTATCATTATTATCACTTGAATTAGAATTATTCATTATTTTGGCAACTTACGGTTCAATGGAAATTCAATATATATTTTTACATCGCCGTGTATGTGTACGGCTTTAATCGACATTCTCATCGTGGTGTCATTAATTCATATGCAGTCCATTCTCCGTGGCTATCGTTTTACACAGTTGTGGCATGTGTCCCGTCTTTTGACTTTATAAAAATTTATTTATACATTGTATATATTTACGAAAGTAAGAAAATACGAAACGACACTAAGGAGTTATTATTCAGAGATAAACGTAAACATATTATTTTAAATTACAAGGTTCGGTCCAAAGGGGGTTGGGGTCATTCTTGAGCATAGGAATGAAGGGGGGGCGGGGCGGGGCGGGGCGGGGGATAAGGGAGAGTTAAGTTTATAATAACTATTAATATTAAGGTAGTAATCATACAGAGATGACTTTTTGCATCATGTATACGTGTAAATTAATTTTCTTTAGCTGTTTATTATGTAAAAGGTGAATTGTGTGTGTATCTTTTTTATGTACTCCGTTTCGATGGATCTGGATCATATGTTGGTGGTGGTGGTTTAATAAACATGATAGAGCTGCGTGAGTTTTTCTTTCGCGTTCACACACACTCTGTCTTCCTCTCGCTGCACAAGGATGGGTCAGGCTTATTCCGCGTTTAGTGGCACTGTTGTCCGTTAGCTTTATGCTGAGCATCGGTTTCTTTCTTACAGTGCTTACGGCTTCCCTGTATAATAACAATCGAAACAAGACTTAATATTATTTACAATCGTGAATAACACATTAGCGATTTTTCATATCAACTCACCAGAATTAAATAAGTCTTTCCATTTGAATATTTGTTCATCCCCTACAAACACTCCTCTTGGCTTTTTCTCACGCACCTCGCCACCTTTCGTTTAAATTCCGTATAACTTTCTCTCCACTCTTTCTGCAGTAAGAAATAAAAGAAATATCATGACAAAAAAGAAAAAAAGTGACAACGTGACAAATATTTTTGGACATACATAAATAAATACTTACGGCGGCATCCACGTTAGCAGGACTTTCATCATTAGGATCTGCGAGCATGCTAATAACACTTATCAAGATAGTCTCGACTGTGTGAACTGGTAACCACCGCTCAGATGCTTTTTCATATCCCCATTTGTCATCACCAGGTTCGTGCAATATCGATATACACACATCTCCATTTTTATCAATATTTGGATGCCATATTTCCGTTATAAATTTCATTCTTGGTGGCCTAAGTGGATATTCTTTTGGGAATTGTAAATGTGCTTTGAAAAAACCACCTTCGTATAATGTATCCGGAGGTCCAATAATAAGTACCTCCCACCGATATATGTCATTGTCGTCGATAAGCCCTGCAGAAAACCCTTCTACTGGGTTTTTATTTAATTCTGTAAAAGAGAAAGAATAATTAGCTTGTGCTTGTGCAAAACATGTTTTGTCTGGAGCACTTAACAATGAAGACGTATCTGAAAATACACAGTCGTTATAATACAAAACAAAATATTCGTATAGAGATAAGCAAGGTAATGAGATATAAGATAATAGTAACAAATATATAGCAATTGTAAATTGCACAGTACTCCAAAATATTTTTAATGTGAGGAAAAGAAAAAAAAGTTTAATCAACAACTAAAGTTTTATACCAAAGATTTAAATTACAATAAAAAAGCACTTTTGTTGCAAAAGTCAAAATTAATTCCTTAAATGCTCCGTATATTTCTTATTATCTCAATGATATTTGATATAATCTATTCATGAGTGAAATAGGATACGACAAAAGCACAGTGTTTTCACGTCTCGATGAATAGTCAAGACTTGTCATGAAACACAGAAATAATTGTAATAGCAAACACAGACAATAGTAGCACTGAAAGAAGTATCAAAGCGTCTAAGTTGTGTTTCTTATCGCGCACTGTAATACATAAAAAATAGCAGCAACATCATTATACATGCAATATGTGCGTTCGTGCCAAATACGACACGTCGATCGGCCAGCAGCGCATACTCTCGTCTCAAGACGCGCGATGTGCAGGTTAGGATTCGCTTGTGCGAAATAATCGCCACACGCCCGCACAGGAGACGTGCGGTGAGTCAGCGCGACGTACTTCGCGCGAAGGAGACGAAACACGAGGTTACTGACGCGACGGCGATCTCTCTTTCTCTCGCGCTCGCGGTGCGACTCTGTCGTGCGTCGCACAAAGAGAAGCGAACTCCGAAGCATTTTTCGTGGCGTCGATCTCGACTGGAACAGGGGAGCATGGCCCGAAGGCGGCTGACCTTCGATGGTCGTTGCACGGCGCGCTTTTGCTCGCTCACTCTCTCTCTTTCTCTCCTTTCATCTTTTTCTCACACTCTCTCCGGCTCTCTCGCTCGCTCTCGCATCTCGTCCCCGCGTGCACTGTCTCTCATTTTATTTTTTTATTTCTTTTTCTGTCGCTTCCTCGCTCGATACGTTTTTTTTCTTCGCTGTGGAGAAAAAACGTGCGCAACGGCGGTGACGCGCGTATGCTATAAATAACAAGGCTTGCAATTATTTTCGGGCATGAGGCGAGAGCAGCCTTCGTCCTCGACGTCGACGTCGACGTCGTCGTCGTCGTCATCGTCGCCGTTGTCGCGCGAGGAACATCGCGCACGAGGAACCGGCTCGTCGGCGACGGGGAAGAGCAGGGTCAGATTCGAGATCGCGGCGTGTCGCGGACGATGAAGACAACATTACGCCGCCGCTTAGGTTAACGTTATTCACGGCGCAGCACACACAAGTCTCCGCGGGAGAGCCGTATTGATTTTCACGCCCCGTATTTGTGCGCACGGCCACGGTGAACCGGCGAGAACGACAAATGGAACGAGCGAGCCCGCGAGCCCATGGCACAACGATTTCCGACGAGGACGAAAGCGAGATCGTCGAGGGCGACGTCGAGCCTGCGAGGCACGACGGCGACGAGTCCTTCGAGAGCGCGAGGCACACAGCTCCGATTCTTCGCTCAGCCGCGATTCACGCTCCATTAGATGCACTTAACACTCATACCACGCTCACATTGTACCTGCTAATTGTTTTCGTAACAGCAGCGCGGACTGTGGTTCTGACATTAATAAAAGTTCAGTTAAATAAGACTAAGACTGAAAACAATCACTTTTGCTTGACTGGAAAGATGGCTAGGTACGTCACGGAAGCGGTGACTACGCATGCGCCATTGCCTAAACATATGTTCTTCCGTCTCGAGCTCTGCGCCGGTCTGATGCAGTGCGCTGCAGTGCTGCAGTGCACGGCAGACGTTCGAGGCTCCAAGTAGAACGGACGAATTTTCAATTGTAAGTAAGGTAGATCACTAACTTTCCACGTTAGCGACGGAGGATAATATAATTATTCTAATACAGAATGTCCATGTGATTAGAACTTATCCGTTTGAAACGAAAAGCTACCATCTCAGAGAATAACACCTTTATTGCAACATCACAAAATTTATTACAGCCGTTTTTATATAGCAAACATAGAAGAAATCTCATTTGCGATAAAACTCTCATTTATCGTTTCACTTTTCTTGTCAATGGAAAGTTAACATTGCGATGTTTATCAAGAATGGATTTTCTGTGTTATGCGTTTTGCAGATGAATATCGCTAGATAGAATATTTATTTAATCTATAAATAATGTTTATATTTAGATTGCAGAGAAATCCAATTCTATTAAAGGTTTCCATTGAAAGTTTTTTGAGATATTGATATTAATCTGTAAATATCTGAGTTGAATTTATTGAATATTTTTAAACTTTTATACTTTTATGTTTGTATAATGCTATATACTTATAAAATAAAATAATGTTTCTTTTTTAATTTTATTTATTTAAATTTACATATTGAATGTCGATTAAATTTATTAGTTTCGTGTTTTAATTTACTTAAGATATTTTTTTCAATAATGGAACAAACATATTTTGTGAAACTCAGTCTATAATGAACGATGAAGATACTTATGCGTCTTTAGTTTCTTCACGTAAATGTAAGAAAAACTTATTCCGATAAAAAAAAGGGTAAAGGAGAGAAATGATAGAGGACCGACAGTTATGTATCTTTGCCTTCTCGGCAATTTCGCACGGTTACATTTGAGATTTATGGCTCGATTTCGATTCCATTTCGCGCCGCGGTTTGTTTACTTATTGGCATCCAGAATATGTGCACGAGCTGATGTTACATTCAGGTTTGTATTGCTTCGATGTTATCACCGAGATTTATCTATTGTGCTATTGAGACGAGACGGTGAAATGGAGATGATTACGCGATGCGAAATTCAGACGAATGTCATAAATTAACGTTGGACTTAAATATTCAGAAATATAATAACTTATATACTTTTTGATACTTTTCTGCTATGACAAAATAATACTTAATAATATTGAATGGAATAAAATAATTTTTGTTATTATTTTTTAACTCAGCATTTTTAAGTCTATGTATACTAATTATTTTATTTGCATTACATTTGCTTACAATTATTGAAATTGTCTGTTTACCTTAAATAGTAATTTAATTGACCATATATCTTTTAAATCAATCACATACATACATACGCTATCGTTACACAGTATCTTTCATTGACAAGAACATTTTTATTACTATTATCGTTATCTTTTATTATTAGTTACTTCAGCCAATATTAATATTTATCGCATGATTATGCTTCGTACCGAATTGTACAGAATTACGGCAATAAAAAATACAAATTATTGATTTCTCGTGTCATCTCGTGTCATCAATAAGTTGGGCTGATAAGAGAGAGTTCGGTACATATTGACTTCATAAATTTAGTATTGTTCGTATTGCTTGTTGTAATCGCAAGATCCATTGTCAAAAGATATCTCTTTTGTATCAAGATGAATTTTATTAAAATTTTAACCAATACAACGAGCAATATTGAAAATGTAATAAAACTTATGATCTTTAAGTCTTTAGTTAAGCGATTGATGATCAAGGTAAATCTATTTCCTAAACCTTTTTTTCAAATTTTGAATAAAATGAAGATAAAATTCAAAATTTATAATTCTACCTTTGATTTATAGCATATTTATAACACTTGTTAGTAATATCGAATTGGCAATAAATTATGTAAATGGAACAAATAAAGATTAACGATTAAACACAGATCGTTGCATCGGCGCATAACATTGCCAAAAATCAAAGCGCTAATTAATCCACTCTTATGTAAAGCATAAAAATTAAATAAATTTTATCCAAATAATTTTATTTATAATTGCATATCAATATAAATTATTTTGAAAAATAAAAATTATTGAAAATCAGCATTCTCAAAAAAAAATATTTGTGCTACTGACAAATGCATATATGTATAAATAGATCCTAAAATATGATGATATGTTGCGTGCAATAAAAACTCATTAAAATTTGTGATAAGTCTTTTTTATTATCTCCTATAATAGGATACATTGCTTGACAAATGATTATACAGACGTACAATACCCAGCAAATCGTTCGCTTTGTATTTTACAATTTCGTCGGCCAACACTCTGCACTTTGTTCGTCCACACAATTATTTACAGAATATTAATAAGACTTTAGTCTCGGTATACAACATTAATCCGAGAGGATAGTATGTCCGCCGTGCATGCGCCTATATTGTATATCTGGCATCTTAATTTGCTGTATCTCAGATATTTCTTAAAAAGAATTGGTTCTTTTAAAAAAATTCCGTAACTCGGTAAAAATTGTGCGTTATTTATAGCGTCATAAAGCGTCAAGATGGAAATTTTAAATTTCATTCCGGATGCTTGTGTATCTTGTAGAAACGCATGATCGTCGGAAAAAATGAGTTCATAAACGAACCTCGGAAAACTTTAACTATGATTAATTCGCGGACACAGCAGGTCGCTATAAGCGTATAGAAAACTTTGTTTTGATCGACGATGCGCGCAAAGTTTAAAGAATCAGACATTTATTAAGACTTTTTCCGCTTGAGCGAAGAATTATGTGAGATGGTTCATGAGCAGAGCATGGGAATGATTACTGTCGCTTCGTTACTTAGTAAACGTCTTATATTTCTCTCTTCCAAAATATAACAATGTAATTTAAAAATTATAAAACTATTCATTCATTTAAAGTGCTTTGTAATTATATATCATTATTAATTCTCTAAAAAAATAATACAATTATTTATTATATCATATATTTAGACAAACTTAATTACGCTTCTTCCTTCCCTGATGCTCTCTTCATTAAAAATAAAAATATGTCTTATATAAAGTTTTTTATTACATATATCTTTAACATAAAACAACAAGAATAAAAATATTCTCTAAGTGTTAACTATAAAACAACATTTCTGTCATGCAATAACTGAATCAACGCTTATTAAATTCGTAAATATTCCTTTATCTATTATAATATTTAATTCTTTCAACACTGGCGAAATTAAAAGCGAGCGATGTCAAACAATATTACAATTATAGAAAATTGCTCAAGTTACATTGTTGTTGCTCAATAACAAGATCTAACAGGACTTTCCACATTCACATCTATTATATTCTAGGACAATATCGTATTTACAATCGTGAGCCTCTTCTCAGTGAAAGCGATCGAGCCATATTTAATAATGAATACGACTCTAGTAATTGGACTTGACATTCTAACAGTAAATACTAATTATAATGTTATCATACAGTTAGTGTGTTAATGCTATGTACAAGTAATATCTCATTAATATCGTCGATATTTGTATCGATATATTTGCTTTATGAACGAAAGCCTGGTTCAATCTCTCCGTCGAAATGACCATCGGAATTGAGTGCGATTGGGTAACTTCAAATCGACGAATTAAAGATACTTACAACAATGTTTACTTGTGCGTACCTTATAAAATAATGGTGCAATTAAACAAATAAAAAACAAAGGAAATTCACTTTATATTTTACTTTATCTTGACAGTAATTTACGTAAAATAATTATCGATTTATTTTTATGAGATAGGAAAGTATGTGAGAAATATGGATTAATAATCGCATTTAACATCGATATCTGTGCTAAAATATTACAATAACGATGCACGGCACAATTTCGTATAAGACTTGCGATATAGAAGGACGGCAGAAGCAAATCTCGTTAATTCGTTAATTACGAAATTGACGTCAAGATATTGTTGCAACTTAGGTATTTATAAATGAGAATTCTCTTCTGAGACATTCCTTCCGAGATTTCCACCACTGCAATTTCTCTTCGACATTCGCTTCAGCAGTAACGACAATGATTCCTCATCCGGACAGCAAACATTTATCTACTTAATGTTTGCTTTAAATCAAAGTATACAAATAATTGTTTTATTTCGATCAAACTATTAGTAAATAATCTTTTACTAGAGACGTCTGAGCTACGACGAAAACTTGATGACACAAGATGAAGATCGATAAATAAAAAGCAAGCATTCAAATATTATTAACTTCGTGTAAAGTGAGTTTGCTTTGATTTAGCAAACTCCGCTCAAGTTCTTTGAAATGATAGCAGCTGGTAGTAGCAAGAACATTAATTGCCCTCGGTAAAAGCGCAATTGCCTATTAAGAGACACAGATTCGACTTTCTGAAGTTTTCGATAACTCGATTCGCAAGTTGATTCGAGCGTGGAATAAATACGCAAGGCGGCAGCAAAAAACTATTAATTCCATTAAATCGGCTGCTGGAAGGTCGGGCTGGCTTTGCCGTCCTTTTCTTTCTCTTTTTTTTTTCCAAAGCCGAAACGCAGTGATGAGACTGAATCCCGTGGCGTTTGACTTTCATTGGATATTTCTCGTGCAAAATTGTCGCGCTAAAGTTTCGTGTCGACCGTCGAGAGCTTTGAACTCGGTTATATTTCCCCGGAGTACGACAGAGGAAACCGGAACGTAAGGGCGAAAGATGAGGAAGTACGTTGGAAAGAAAATCCTGTGAAAGGAGAGAAGTCGGTCTGGACTTTCACCGCACTGGGACGGCGTCCTAGGCTTATATATTGACGGCCTTATATATTGATGTGAAAAAAACCATGATATATTTTAACATAGTAATGATGCTAATCCAAAAACATAACACTTTCACTCACACTTGCGAGCTAATATATTTCCGTCGCGCATTAAAAAATAACAGAACACAATTAATAAGAAAGTTGAAGAATGTACATTTTTGGTCCTTTTCTTATAAAAATGTAATTAAAAAATTCTCGAAAACAGTATATATGGAATACCATACAATATAAAACTGTAAAATTGACAATTGTTACGTTAATTAATATTAATTAAAAAATTGTAAAAGATAGAAAATTGAATGTAGATCTTCCTTAATTTTAAAAATTTTGTCATCTGCAACAGCAAGCTGATGATACGATATGATTTATTTCCTTGATGTAACCAAATTCACTTATACTTAACGAATTCAATATCCGCAGTGAAAAGTTACATCAAACTTTAATTCGCTTCACAAGTTCACTTCGTAAATGGGTCTATTATCTCGAGAGAAAACTTTGTTGAAAGAATTAAAAGCGATCTGAAATAACACCCAGGCCAAAGAGAAATCTTTTAAAAGTACCATACAAGAGCATCGATTAATAAAACTTTGAAAATAATATGCAGAGTATCGAACGCGCGCGATCTCTTTCGTATTCTCCTGCGCGCTACCCTATCTTTAACTTAAAAATGCGACAGCCAACTTTTAAGCACTCTCCTCGGCATTTGCAATCGCGACACGCCGGCGGTTATTGCACGATTCCTCGCGTACGCGGGGACGTATGGAAAGTTGTAAATAGATTCTCGCAACAAATCGCCGTAGCGCCAGCTTGGAGCAAGCGCCCGCTCCGGTTCGAACTCGAGGGTGAGGAAGTTTGTACGGGCGGGCAGGTTGGATCGATGGCTGGATGGCCTGGTACGAGCACCAAAGTAAAGTTTGTCTTGGCTGCCGGCCACGACCCTCCATCGAATCACCAACGGAGTGATAACGATAACTCTAGCAACTGCTCAAGCCAGTATCGATTGTCATTAGACACCGTACGAAATTCTCCCGCCTGCACGGTTGGGCCTTACAGCCTTTTCAGCGATTCGCCCGGCGTTTTTAATATTCGGATGATGTATGCACGACCGCTTGTGAGTGAAGAGACGGCCGACAAAATCCCTTACACCGTATGATATGTTACAAGAAACAGAAGAGGGGCACTTTATTTTAAATCGCTAAAGGATCATTTTTGTTCCTCGGCGGGGCAGGCTTTACGCCGATATTGGCGCAATTTTTCCTTCATATTGCCAAAGAAAATTGATCCTACGTAAGAACATACGAATTAAATTTAACATACATTTTATTTTCTAAATTTTATTTCGATATTGGATCAACTCATATATCACTCATCCGTAAAGATATGTAAAGAATATTTAACACGGCAACATAAGTATAGCACGCTTATAATATTAATAGCCACAAAAATTGCCCCTACACAGCAGAAATAATCATTTATAGCTAATTCACAGTTATGCTTTGTTTATGCATTTCTCATCGTAGACTATTCAAGTATCAATATGAAAGAACGGGGATAGTCATTCTAAACGCAACATTCTTAGGGATTAATGCCTATCCATAAATATCTTAATTATTGTTCTTGAGCACAGAATTTGATTTCATTCATTTGATTCTAGCGTCCAGCTGATGGTAGTATAACAAATAACACGTCACTAATCATTATTATTACAATATTACAAGATTTGCTGCAATTATCGTTGAACAAGTGATTGTTTCTTGATTCACCGAATAAAAATTACAACAAAATATTTCGTAGATTCTTTTCGCGTGTCAATAATTGTTTACTTCACTTTAGATAATAACTTAACGCCGTTTGGGAAACGGTGATCTTCGTTCAACGATAATTGGATTACTATCTTCGCAGGTGGCAGTGTGATTGAAATTACAGTTGGGTTCGCGAAGAAAAATGACAGATTGATCGATAAAACGAATACGCGCGCGAGTAATCGAAATATCTTTCGATCTATCCTGAGCTGAACGCAAGAATCGACAGCTTAATTATATTACAGTCAAGAACGCGTTTATTTAAGTACGGAAATATAAAAAATCCTTACAAGTCCCTATCTAAGTAGGCGTAGAAACATTAAGTTGGTATCCGTCCGCAAGGCAGGACGTCCTCGAAATCTCATTGAATATTAAGCGGGTGAGGCCATACTTACTTGAATCCGCGGGAACATCTAGATTGATTTCGCCCGCTTGCCAAGGAATTGATGTCAAGCACAGATCCGGCATTATCGGAAATTAATTTCAACAGAAATTCCGTAAAAGTTCCCTTGTGCGTGATTTATTGCGGAATTATGGTACTATTATTCAAAGATATGTTAATATTCGCCCTGAAGACCACTGCCGGACACTGTTTTATTATGAATCAGATTTTCACTAAAGTGGATCATGAAAAGGAATGATAAAGATGCGGCCGTAACAATTACATCGATCTTTCAGGGAAAATTTGGCAAATTTTCAGTACGTATGCTCTTGGTATTCAGTGATGCATACATGTTACTTATATTAACGTAGAATTAATTACACAATTTTGTTTCAGTACTTTGCTCCATGTTTCAGAACTATTAATTCTTTCAAATTACCGTTTTTTTTCTTAAAAGCATTATTTATATCGAAGAAATATAAATTTTTCAATCGACTTCAGGGCTTTCTTAGGAAGCAGCACCGGTACGTGACACGAATAAAGAAGATAGGGAAATAAAAGAGAGTTTCAACATTTCCGTGCACGAACAGCATACCAGCCACGAATGAAATGCACCATTGCCTCTTGGGAAATTATTTTATGCCGGTCATTTGCTCTACTCATTTTATCGACGACGTAAACGTAATTTCCTGTCGTTAATGCCGGTGTGCGGACGCCCAAGTCATAATGAAGAATTACTCATGGCTTCAGTTCCTAGGATTTTATTCTTTTCGTGATTTCTTTAATTAATCCGAATTATTTCAAACTACACGAGATGATGTATTTACGAGCGGAAAGTTTGGACAACGGATCAGTTTTTCGGAAACTAGGCATCATAATTAAATATGTAATTCGTGAATTTAATCAACATAAAATAGCATTTTGGCAACGGTATTTGCATCCTTTGGGCACGCGACATCTTGTTTTTATGTAAAAGCGGTAACTTCATACGTATGTAGTAATATCCAGCGAACATTTATTAAGAACACTTCCAGATTAGTCTGGCAACGTCTGCCGGAAGTTCAAGAAATTCCTACGACATTTGAGAGACACTTTGTCTATCCCAGTGCCATCTTACTTAGCACTTACAATAACACTATTACAGTATCAAACATGATATAATTATGAAAGTACTACTTTTCAGTTAAACGCAATCACTCTTACACAAAGAAAGTATTAATGGCTGTACGTTCTATTTTTATTTTGTTCTACTTACAACCGTGATATAAATTTCGCGATGTAAACTTTTAGAGAAAAAAAAACATAAACTTAAGAACTTTCATTTTCATGTCAATTTTAGCTATTATGAATAATATAATGTGTATTTTGCTATTATAAATGTATAATGTTATGTGCATATAATGAATATATAATATTTATGTGCATGTTAACGACGCAAACAACTGTCGGGGATAATTATTTATTCTTTAATAAATATTCCGGTAATCAAAATAAATAATTAAAATTCTATTAAAATGTAATTGTGTCGACAATGTAAATATGACTTTAAAGTATGGTTATCGCGTGTAAGCGAAAATGAGATTATCTTATTGTGTCGATTTCAAAGAGGATGTCCTACTTGCGTCCGTGGTTCAAGCATTTATCATTTTGGAATTTTTCGAGTGTGTCCTAGATAGCGTATTGTATACGTTCATTTATGCTCATTGGCATCATTATTAATAAAGGCGTGTTGATGATTCCATCATTAATTATTGAATCTAGATATGTAAAGTAATCCATAAAAAAATTACTTCACAAAAAATAATTAAATTTAAGCTAAATAATTTTAATAAAGTTGGATGAAAATGATTTTCTACCTGAAAAACTACCAAAAATCGTATTCTTTACATTTCTAACTAAAAAAACACACAAAGCATCGTTATTTTTCGCGTTCATTAATCGTATTTTAATTATAACTCAACATTAATGATAAATTCAACAAAAACGCCTTTTCATTGTCGCGATCTGGCAACACCGTTTAGCATATACAACATGTTACATATACCTATTCCATCTGCTTACGATCCGTAAAAATGCTGTCGGTTGATCTCCAATTGATCGACTCCACCCGCTGGACTGTCAATCTCGGGAAATACGCCGTGGTTTCACATTTCCGTATTTTCCTCGGCCTCTTCGTCGACCTTGGGCAGCATATAGACGGCAGAGATCGGCGACACGTGATCCTCGAGCTTCAGGATCGGCTTGCAATCTCTAGTGACATCCACTTGATTGAAGGTGTCCTTCAGAATGTTGATCTCGTTCTCGTGCGCGAATATATTGGTGGGTGGTTCTGTGCCACATATATTGTTCTCGTCGGTGCCGTTTCTGTGGCACAGATTGCCCGACGGAAATTGTCACGAGGTCAACGCGAACGGGTCCGTCGATAGCTCGTCAATGGACGAGCTCGGCTTCACCGGTTCCGGCTTGTCCGGTTGGTGACTCAGCCGGTGGACGATCTCGTCGTGGATGATGTTGAAGCACATCGCCGTCAGGGCCATTCCTGACATTATGTAGCAGGAGCAAAACCAGACCGTCACGTTTCTCGAGTCGGCGGGGGTGTGGCGAGGGTAAGAACCGGGCACCATATCGCCGAAGCCGATGGTGCTCAGGCTCATGAAGCAGAAGTAGCTCGCGTCTAGATGTGAAAGAAGCGCGTCGTTACCGTGTGACACGAATGTTTTATGTCTGCGTACATTATTTTAAATATATGTATATTGCACATGTCATATTGTTTTATAGAATTTTTATAGAATTTCATACCAATTCGAATTAAAACGCAAAACAAAGTTTGCGTTGATATTTTTGCAATTCTTTGAGGTTTATCGAAGCGCGCTTATATCGGAAACTACCGAGAAATTCATATCGAGAACTGCGCGACAGAGGATCTTTATGAGTTTTTTTCCCCCCCGATAGAAACTTACCAACGAATGACCAGCCGTCCAATTTGTGCAGAGTGAATGCTCCGGCGATGATGTAGCACAGCATCGCGCCGAGGCAAATACTGATTGGCGCGAGTATAGTAACGTTGGGTCTGTCGCCCGAGCCGAGGCTCGACACTTCGTCCTTCGGGCTGGCCTTAATTTCCACGGTGCTCGTAAATGTCGATGCGTTCGCGCGAACGTAAAAAGGCTCCTGCAATTGGAGCTGCTGCTGCTGCTGCTGAGCGAGCTCCTCCTGCTGCCGCTTTTTTCTCATTCGCCGCTCTTTCTCCTGCACGAATAAAAAAATGCTTGGAAATTCGCCTTTCATACGTCTACAACTCGACACGTGCGCGTCCGATTATTCTACGCGCGTGCTAATTCTATTTCATCGCTACACTTTTGAGTAGGCGCCGACATCGTTTACGCTCTTGTAACTCGAGTGTCGGAGGTTTTCGAAAGCTGATCCAATTTTATTTGAATAGCGCTCCAACAATAACCAATCAATACTTCGGTGGCCATTAATCCTTATCGATCGCGCAGGACACGCGTTATCCTACGCTACGCAACACTATCGATCCGGCGCGACATATATGTTTCCCATCACTGGTATATCCGGTTTGTTCAACGGGAAAAAAAGAGTGCCGGCGATCCGCGATTAAATTTTTTATCAAGTGGCAGTGCAAAATTTTTCGACGAAGCACGCCCCGGCTTACCTGCATTCGCCTCTCGTCGTAACAACAGTAGCCGCAGTTCGAACAAAGGCAGCAGCAAAGAGCCCGCGTGAAGACACCTCTGGCGCATCTCGATAAGAGTCCTCCCGCGCTGGACAAGTAAACCAAGGTCAAGGGTATCCCAAGGCTGGCGTAACCCATAGTGGCGATTTTGCCCCAGGTGGATTTCGGTGCGATACTTCCACATCCTGTAAAAATAAAACAAGGCAAATAGAGATAAATAGAAAAATAATCATCAAAATTGCAATGGCAGTATTTTGATTCTTGAAAAGTTATTCTACAGTTTGTTTTAAACGTTGTAGCTGAGAAAGAACAGTGGTAGAGCTGCGCTAGTTAATCTCTTTTATAATGTTACTTTCCCGAGTACTTAAAAGATAATGCGTACAACGGTATGTTTATTCACGCTAATCAACTACTGCGGTAATAAGACCCTTGTATAACATGCAGCCGTAATTGATTCGTGTGTATGTGTATGAATAAGTAACTAAAATGAATTTACTCGGAGAATGATGTTGATATAATTACAGCTACTCTTCAGACAATTTCTTTTAATAAAAAAATTTTTAAGGAATATTAAGAAGTAAAAACATCATCATTTATTCCTATAATTTTCTTCATGAATGTTTTCAACAAACACAAGTTTTGACGTTACTTTTCTTATTATTCATATATTGCGAGAAATCAAAGTTGATTAGGTTTCATAAGATATTCAGGTCAGTAGAAACGCTTCGCGCGAGAACTTCAAATATAAAGCGTTCATAAAAATTCGTAGAATTTTCGGAGTCGTAAAAGCTTAAGTTTCGCCAAACGTCGATCAATCGTAATCTCCAAAAACGATTCTAGCAATCGAGCGGCGGAATTTATAGTGCAGCAGCAGCATCCAATCGAGTTGCTATCCCGGGAATGGATAAAAATATCTACGAAAAAAAAACCTGGCCAAAGTTTTTCTTCAATCTCGCAAAACAATCAAAAGCGTTGTTTGATCAAGATACGAAGGCTTTAATAAATTTTAACCCGTATCATTGCGACGCAGGGAAACAAGTTGCATTAAAGGACTTTTTTCTTGTTTCTGATTTATAATGTGAAATTTATCTAGTGACAGCCAACAGCTATCATGACAAATTTTGGCGATAAACGGCGATATTTATATAATATGTTGTCAGAGAGAAATATAAATACTATTGACATCTAGCATGGCGCCAGTTATTTTGGTATAATATTTTTTCAGAATATTGATTATTAAAAGTCGTTCATAAAATACGGATTATCAAAATCGATGATGCTTTTAGATTTTTTTTATTATAAAAAACATTGATGAAAATATAAAGCTATGTGCCATGATTTGATACATTCAGTATATCTCTCCTACAATAATACTGCAATAATAAATATACATTTATTGCACGATGAGAAATAAAAACCAGTCAGAAATGATAAAATATGACAAATGCTCTATATATTTTTCAAAATATTTCTTATAATAAATTTTATACAAATGCCTTTATCCGCGGGTTTGCCAAAAATTTCTGATAAAGCATTAATCTTCGAATATATCCCAAGTTGCATACATCAATTAATTTTACCACCGTGATATGAAAGTTTCGCGAAAGCACAGCGGTTGCAGCGATAGCAGCGGCGGCGGCAGCAGCAGCAGCAGCTTTAAAGCTCCGTATTTTACATACAATCCTGATTATACGTGATCCCCATTTTTCCAAACAGAATAATACGTTAAGTATTGTGAGGCTATTTTATCGCCGACAAACAGCGTCATTAATCTCCACGGATAAATAGATCTCATTCTTCCGTGGAAATGTGAGAAAAACGATACCTTTCCAAAAAACGCGGCCACGCTTCAGCTCCCATCCGCGCGGAGCTGCCGCTATTCGCGCATCGCTCAATTCCAATCTCGACAGGTCGACCTTCGCGATGGAAGTAACATAGAAGCGCAATATGCAGTTGCGCGCTCGCAGTTTTACGCGGGTCGATTCCAAAATTTACGCGCGAGTGGAAATAAAAGGTTACGGCCGAGTGGAGGAAGGGGCGCGTTTGCGGAGCGCGAAGGTCCTGGCAGAAACCTGAAAAAGCGCTTGGCGGAGATGCGGATCGATTGCTCGACGCCGCTTAAGATAATGGATCACCTATCGGAATTGCCCTCCCCGATACCTGTATGATAGTGAGCAGCCGGCCGGGCCAGCTGCATCGCCGATGGAATTGCAGTTCCGCGGAAGCTCCGCGGAACTGCCACACGAAGGCCTATTCGTCACTGTCCTGCCGCCTTATCGTTCAGGACGGCGCGACCCTTTCGGTCGGCCGTTATCTACTATCATTTGTTAGGGGCTACAGCAGATTGTCAGCTTCGGTTTTATTGGCCGACCGTGTAAAAATATACTGCGCTCAATCGCGTGGCGTAAAAGAGCGATGGTACGCTTTGTCGCGAGTACACGTTTGAGCACGTCCCGAGCTTTGTATATGTCAATGAAGGAAGCGCACGCCAATGACGTAAAACACATAAATACATCAATACGGACCTGATAATATATTAAATGAAACGTCTATTTATATTATTATGTTTTTTTTTTTTTATTTACTACGGACTTTTTTGTATTGATTATTAATTTGGATATATCAATCCGTTCGTTTTATTTTTGTACCATCTCTCACTCGATACTTCTGCAGAATCATAGCGCAGAAAAGCAATCGCTTCGAAAAGATACTAAAAACAATCTGCGTTCGACGACGACAAAAATGGTGTATCTGTTTCCTGAAGCGCGGTATTTTGGTGGTGGAATTTTTCGAACAAACTGTGATCCAGTATTTTTATACCTTCGCAATTGTATTTATTGTGTATACAGTTTGCGGAATGTGAGATGTATTTGAATTATACCTATCGTGCAATCGCACAATGATTCCTTTTTAATCCATTGCAACGTATGTCGAATTGGATATATTTTTTGCATATACCGACGTCAAGAACGAAATGTGCTTGACAATCGCAAACGCGCGGCTCCTAATCGTACGTTATCCAGTGATTGAACGATGCGCGTGAAGTAAGCCCCCCAATATTAGAAATAATTAAGTGAATTTTTGAATGTAAAGTTAGCCCCCGCAAGGTTTTTTTTTAAATAACTCTTTTTCTAGAAGTATGCAAACGAAAATAAAAGAAGTGCAAACAATGTGCAATCGAATCACGTAAAATAATTTAATTATTTCTAATATTGAACTAACTTCACGCGTATGATTGAACGCCGTTATGGTAAATAATACAATTTTGCAAAAGTCCGCATCTCGCGCGCATTAAATGGAATTAAATTCTGTGATAAAATTATATAAATAATTTACGTAACAGCAATGTGCAAAAATAATGCAGCATTTGGCCATTGAGAAACGACATCAACAATAATAAAGCAAGCAAGCGTATCTCATCTCGTTTTGAGCTTGAGTCGAGATGTTGAAGGAACGAGGAAGGGGAATGCCGGCGTATGAAACAATAAAATTTAATTATCAGCTAGCAATAACAAACGCTTGTCGAGTTATTCATTCTCCACCAGTCGTGTACTACGCACCTACAATTTACCCAATTCTAATCATAACATTTCAGTTCCATATAAAGACACCACTCTCGCTGAAACCTTTCAGTCTTTGTGATATGCTGCGAGACGGAGTAATCTTATAAAAAGTAATGTAAGAGTTTCATGCGCACAAACAGCAATCGAGCCTTTTATATGTCAAGTCCTTTATTTGATCTGATTCGGCTATAGCGTTTTGCAAAATGATAATTTGCAAAATAATAGCTGTTATTTTCCTCGTCATAATCGGAATAACAATCGTGACGTGTGCTGCTTCGACAGTAAGTATTTATCGTCAGTAATGATAAAAAAAATATTATAATGATTATTAATACTGCATGAAATAATCATTGAAATTAAAGCGAAACAAATTGTTAGTTTAAAAAAGTTTAAAAAAGAACGAGATAAATGTATATTACATTTTAATGAAATATGTTGCAATAAAATTTTATCTCTCTTTTACTTTCAGAGCAAACGACGTTCTGGATTGAAAAAGGAAGTAAGTAAAATTATAAGAAGCCTTTCTTTCGAAATAATACAATATCGTTAAAGTAGAGTAATAATAGAGTTATACATGTATAAATTTTAGTTATTAATATAATTATATTCATTTTTATTACATGTAATAATTTGTTATGGTCGATGATGAAAGATATTTTTAATTGAAGGGAATCGGAAAGAAGATTGGACATAAACATGACAAATTAGATGCTTCACTTCCCGTTCTTTGGACTTACGGCGTCATGCAAAGGTCTTTGAATCCAGTGTCGAATAAACTCACTGATAATCAGATTTTAAACATAAATATCAAGAAGAAGAACGTTATAAAGAAATTAAAACTCTCCGTGACATTCCGCAACAACATACTTTACATCTTCTCATACTTGCTTCACGGTCGCAAAAATGGATTAACAAACGCGAAGTACACATCTTTGCAGATGCTTTACGATATTATCAGAAAAAAGATGGTTCGCATATACAACATACTGCCCGGTTTATCCAAATTAAACACTACAGACAAGAATCAACAGACAATAAACATATTGTTGTCGCTGGTAAAAAATCTACCGCCTTACTTTCAATGCACAGCTAATTTCCTGGTTCAGGAGATAAAACAAAACAGATTCGATCTCAATCAATTATTTACACCAACGAAAGCCGAAACGTTCAATTATCTGTCCAATATCGATTCAAGCATCTTCAGAAATGATCCAAAATTTAACGAAGAAATGGAAGCGAACGACAAACAATCGAATATCACTCAGAATGCTCTCGGTTCGATGTTCGTAGGGCTTCTGCACAATCTGCATGTAAATAAGCTGCCCTTGTCGCAAGAACTATTCGGTTTGATATTGATTAATCTGCCGAAGTCTAGTGACGATCCTGTACTGGAAGAAAACATCAAATATCTGTATGACGTAGCCATAAACAATTATATTATAAATTGGAATTTGATTGAAAAAGACGTCGTTAACAAAGACGCTTATTCAGTTGTTTTCTCGACTTTGTCTAAAATTTTCACTAATCCGAGCATGGCAATAGTCGTGCGGAACGCTGCAGTTTATGTGTACAATCATTTGAAATTCGTCGTTCCGACTCACGCTAATCCTAATTTCAATTAC